CAACCAAACCCACGTGGCTATGAGAGAGGAAGAGGCAGAATGGCCTTCCCAGATCCCGATAAAGTCGTCGCCACGACACTCACGAATCAAATCAATAGCCAAGGAGGGAAGTAGAAGTCCAGAATGTACCTGATCTTGCCAGGTCAATTGAACAAACAACGATCAATGAAAACGACATTGGGTCAGCGATAAGTTTATGGATTTACAACGCTAAAATCCGTTGTTTGATTCCTCGCGGTGAACAGGATGCAATAAAAAAAAACATTTATATCAATAACATGTTCAGTAACTGCCAAATGTGTCGTAAACAAATTACTTCTGAGTCACGTGACAAACAAAATCAAAAGTGGGCATGCGCACTTCTGTGAATGATTCCATCTCAAAGTCATCGTCTATAGTCTTGTTTATTCACTTTTTTGATATGAAGGCTAGAACTTTTAGTATTTCTTTCATCCGAGGACCAAAGTCTTCATTACAAGAAGACTAAACAAAAGATGTTTACCATCCCGTAGCTTGTAACTATCTCAACTACTTTCTTTGACTACGAGCATGTGTAGCCTAAATAATTACATCTCAGTCGAAATCTCGTGTTCTCTAACATTTATATATACATAATATTTAAGAAAATCGGAATTATTTTATTATTATATTATGAAAAAAATAGTTTTTTAAATCGTTTCTATTTATTTCAGATTTGTAAAATTTTATAAAAGTATTGATGCTAGTCTTCATTTTCTTTCATATAATATTTATCCAGTTTAATGCTAATTTGAAAGATACATCGTATTAATACACCGAGTAACCCTAACATGCAAATAATTTAAGTACACTTTTAGCGCGTTAATTATCATTGTTAGTGCAGTATTATTGACTAAAATAAATAGTCCTCACATAAAAAATGTTTTATTATTTGTTGTATATTTTTTGTAGTTTAATTCGTATGACAGAAATGTTGCTTAATTCTTTAACACATTTGTAATTACATTTATGTCGCATTAAGTGAATGTAAATAAACTCGAGTAAACTGTTGTCAAGACGACACAAGCGACATCTATTGACAGCCTTTGCAAACCAATTTAAAGTTCGATACTTATTTAGTGCTAATTATTTTTTACCTAAATTACAGTAGATCACAAAGTTAAGTTTTCAGTGTATTTCACTTAAAAAGTACAAACGTATAACCCATTTTGCTAATTACTTTTTCAAGGTTTCCACGACATTTCTGTTCTAGCCATGGAAGAAACGGCGTAGGGGTCGCTGTGTGGAATTTCACGATGAAAAAAAAAACATTTTGTGCATAATAATTATAGATAAATTATCTTTGGTACAAACTTCGTTGCAGGCATGCCAATTAAAACTATTACTAATATGTAGTATTTCTGACCTCAGTAAAATTAACTTTTCTTAATATACGACGTCAAAAATTCCGACAGTTAAATTGAAATTTTGAAAAAGGCGGAACTCTCTTTTGTAGTTACTTTTTCTTCCAATCAGAAAACGATAATATCTTGAATATTTAATTGAACCCATACTCCTTCCTAGTCTTATTCTCCAGTCATCAGATAAAACTTATCTTCCAAGATATATTAAACCCTGACGATAAACATGGAGTTTCTATATGATAGTTAGAGCATGATGAGGTGGTCGCTCGATTTGCAATATGGGTCACGGGTTCAGATTCTGTCACCATACATGCTAACTTTTACAACCATGTGGGTGTTGTAAAGTTACAGTCAATTCCACTTTTCGTTGGTAAAGAGTAGCCTAAGAGTTGGTGTTGTCGACTATCACTTCTAAATAAGGGATAGCTTGTTTAAAGCAACAAAGAATATAACTTGTAGAATCAAATTACTGACCGAACTATTTCTTTATAGTAAAAAACCGTTTTGAAAAGTAAACAGTAAGGAATTGCTCACAAGCTTTGACAATCGTTGTGATTTAAAATATTATGTTAAAACAGAAATATAATAATTATTACTGTTTACTGCTAATTTAATGGTAGCCGATTTGGTAAACACTTCGTTGTTGTGAAAAGCTTTGGGTGTTTGAAGATGTTCCCGAGATAACGTTTCTGTTGTTGTTTGCATTATAAACGTTCTTGGAACACTGGATTTTTGCGAAATGAAAACTGACATAAAGTGTTACTGGGTGGATGTTAGTTGTTATTTACTGTCTAGATCATTATCAGTAAAGAATTATCTCTTGTACGATTCTACTAAACCTGTTGCGATGTTTTTAACATTAAATGATTAAGTTATTAGCTTAAAATATGTCCGTACTTTACTATGAATTTATACAAAAAGTGTAAATTGTGGAATTTTGGTGGGCTGTTCTTTGGCAAGCCTTTGTAGCAAGCTGGTGAGTAGAATTAGAAATTAGGCTTAATGATACAAAAGTTTTGACTGGAGTGTAAATTTAAAAAATCATAAGTATAAAAATATTGGAAAAAAACAACAACTTAAAACGTATTGTTTACTTTCAAGCGCAAAGGTACACCATGGGCTATCAGCGATGTACCCAATGCGATTATTGAAACCCGATTTTAAGCGTTACAAGCCCTCAAGTTTACCGCTAAAAATTTATATTTTTTAAGTTAATTTAACCTTTAACTTAAGATTAATGTACTATGTTCGCTCTCTCAACAATTAAAACTTCATTATTATTTTACGTTTTAAAATCATGCATCTAACAAATCAATACATAACAATTATTATATTAGTAAAGCCTTACGTCATCCACAATTATAATTACGGGACCGTTTTACACATTACTAAACATCACATTGTACATAATCAGTGAACTAATGTTGTGGTAATTGAAAGTCTCATGACCGTACTGTCTTGTCGCTACCAAATCTCAATGCATATTTATCTTGTCTCTTCTGATACATTTAATAAAAGAATGGGAAATCCAGCTTTCTTTCTTTCACTTTTTCATATTGAAACAAACAAGTCCAAAGAAATAAGCCTTAAAGTGGCATCACGAGCTCGTAAAACACAATCTTTATCACGGCTCTACCTGTCTGTCGCTCGTTGGTTTTAAAGGAAAATATATTAAATTTACATCCGTCAAACGTTTTAAATTGCCACAAGAAATAGCTCTTTGTTGGCTTTCGATTAGGAAAATCTGCATGTCTGATGAGATTTTAGTCATATTCACGAAAAATATTTCGAGGTATTTTGATATAATTTCTATCTCACAAATAGCAATATTACGTATATAGGTTCAAACAGTCAAAAGAAACCATATTATTAATGACTCGTGATTGATTGGTCCTCTCAAGTTAAGGCGCCATCTATGTATTTGAAGACGTACTACACACTTGTTTCAAACTGAGTGCAGCGGATGACATCAGCTGGGATGGAGTCCTTGGGCGAATTTCTATCATCGTCTTCATGAAATTGGATGGAACCAGATTTGTACCAAACTACTGTGTCCACAACGAATGCTCCTAGCATGATGGCTGCCGTTATACCGTGAAAATACATTCGAAACTTTGCTGGGTCATAAATCCGACATGCGCCCCTTTCGCCACAGTCACCTTCCTCCCAAAATAAGCAGGCCGAATCGACGACAGCGCCATAGATTATTGGACACGGGACGTTACCTGAAAAAGGTACGTTTAAAATTAGGCTTAACACAAAATATCAAATACCAAAAAACAAACAACAACTAAACAATAAGTAAAAAACAACTGTTTTAATTTATTTAAAAAACAAAAACAGTTGTTATAATATATTTTAAACAGTCAATTGCAAACTAGCCTGCATGCGAAAACAGTATGTATAAATTAAGTTTTAAATACTAACATTTAAGATATCCATTGCAAGTTACTGTAACTACTAACTAGGGTAAATTAACTTTACGCTGGCAAGCTTACCATAAATACAGGCCATGGACTTGTTAAGCCTACTATTGTGATAAGGACTACAGACTTATAAAACAATTTAGTGTCCTTCTTTGAACATTATTATTTTTAGTAGCATAGAAATGAAGTGTTTGGAAGTTCTTATTACTCTATAAAATTTAAAAACAAATTACCTGCTAATATGATATTAATAACTAATAAGTAGAACTGAGGAAGTTGAAATATCAGTGTATCGTACGCATGCGTTTACAGCTCTGGAAAACCCGAAATTGTACCTAATAAGTTAAGGGGGGAAAAATACTTGCAAATAATGGGGTCACAAGATCCAAAAATACTGTTATCCATAGTGTCTCCGTTGTTAAACATGTCCGAAATGTTTATTACTTCGGCCTATTATATATTTCTTACCGAATAGTCCAATAGCAAAGTAGATTAGGCCTAGGGCAAGAGCTTTGTCTTGAGGCTCTACGCATCTGAAACACAAGTAATTAATATTATTTTGATGTTTCTAAATAGAGGAAAGAATTTCAGCTGCTTATTAATATTAGTTGGAAACTACAAATTGATATTTCTTTATAATAATGGTTATTATTGATCAGAAAACTTGTTAGAACTGCACAGCTTTTTGTGTGTGTATGTGATGTACATAATAATAATATGACCGGATGAGTGGCCCTAAGTTGCAATAATTGACGTATATGCTGTATTTCTAGTAGAATTATTAACCATTCATTGAAAGTTAGTAACAACGATCCAATTAGGGACGGCTAACATAGAGAGTATTAATATTACAAGTTTTTAGTAAGCTTGTATAAAGATTACACTCGCCTTAGCAATGTCAATTTTGAGTAAACTTGTAGGACTAACCTCGTATAAAGATTACACTCACCTTAGCAGTGTCCAGTTTTGAATAAGCTTGTAGGACTAATCTTGTATAAAGATTACACTCGCCTTAGCAGTGTCAAATTTGAGTAAGCTTGTAGGACTAATCTTGTATAAATATTACACTCGCCTTAGCAGTGTCCAGTTTTGAGTGAGCTTGTAGGACTAATCTCATATAAAGATTACCCTCCCTTAGCAGTGTCCAGTTTTGAGTAAGCTTGTAGGACTAATCTTGTATAAAGAATATACTCACCTTAGCAGTGCCCAGTTTTGAGTAAGCTTGTAGGACTAATCTTGTATAAAGATTACACTCGCCTTAGCAGTGTCCAGTTTTGAGTAAGCTTGTAGGACTAATCTTGTATAAAGATTACACTCGCCTTAGCAGTGTCCAGTTTTGAGTAAGCTTGTAGGACTAATCTTGTATAAATAATACACTCGCCTTAGCAGTGTCAAGTTTTGAGTAAGTTTGTAGGACTGAACTAGGGCAAGATAAGACTAGTCTGTTGAAGTGTCTAGTATAGGGGTCAAAATTTCATAGTAAACAGTGAGTAGTCATGGCTGTTTACCAAACCAATATATCTTAGGTACAAATATAAAACGTCACGTTTAAGGGTGGAACTGACATATGTACAATAGTGTTTATCTGTACTAATTCTGGTATCCGCACTACCACCCTAATTAATTTGTGAAGGTGCAGACTTCAACATACGTAAAATATACAATTATTTTGTGATGGTAAATAAAATAAATTTCACTGCTATAACTATCTTTTTTTTATGTACCAGCGCACCTGAGAGTTAGCAACATAGAGCCGACCTCCGATGTTGAATGAATAAGTACGAATATGGAGAAAATGATGATATACCACACTAAGCTCTCACACTCCAGGGGGCAGTAGCCATTCGTGGCAGTGGCGTTCTGGCCGAGACAATCCTTGAAGATATACTAGATAGAAAAGTTAATTAATTATCGTAGTGTGCAGTATAGAATATCGGACATTTTAAAACATAATAGATACGAGTATTAGTAGTTGTTCGATGTACGTACAAAGATTTATATTGGTGTATTAGTAGTTGTTCGATGTAGGTACAAAGATTTCTATTGGTGTATTAGTAGATGTAGGTTTGAAGCCATATTGCTTTCAGTATAAAGTTTATTTTATAATGTTTAAGTTCACTCAACCAACAAAATGTTTAAAACTTTTGTAAAGTATAACATGGATAGAAAAAAAGTCATTTCTTGAAGGATAAGAATATTTAAATATTTTATTAGTACTAACAGACTTATGATAAGTTGTATTTAACAAGACAGAACAGGCGGGAAAGTCGCTGTAGAGCATTAACTGTATACGCATGGCTAAACATTATAGTGTTCTACGTTTACAGCAAAGCTAATAAAGTCATCACACTAAGCTTTTCCAAGGCTGGCATGAACGTCAAATAAACAACCTGAGTAACTCTGTGCTGTTTTTCTTTTATTAATTATTTATTTACACGCTAGGGGAATCTAGCACCGTGTAAACTCTCCTCCCTCTAGTTATGAAGTACCATCTTATCTTTACACGTTAGGGGAGTCTAGCACCGTGTAAACTCTCCTCCCTCTAGTTATGAAGTACCATCTTATCACGTTTATCATTAAGCCGTCTCTAATTCCGAACCCTCCGCCACACTTTCAGTTACCTTATTTTTTATTGATTCTAGAGAAATTAGTAGAAACTTCCCGAGTCCGTAAGGTTTAGAAAGTTAAAAGTGAGTAGATAATGGCTTATAATTATTCTAGAACGACACACCTCCATGACATTCCACTCTATCTTATTATTTAATATTGTTTGTTGTTAGCCGCGAGGAGTGACATATTATTAAACTGTTATCTCTTATTCACTTATTTATTTCTGTTCTCCGTGTCTTCTTCATAAAGCACTAAGCATACATATAATGTTTCTGGTGCTTAGACCAATAGAAATCTTTGTACATACATCGAACAACTGTTCAATGTACGTACAAAGATTTCTATTGGTGTATTAGTAACTACTAATACACCAATAGAAATCTTTGTACGTACATCGAACAACTACTAATACACCAATAGAAATCTTTGTACGTACATCGAACAACTACTAATACACCAATAGAAATCTTTGTACCTACATCGAACAACTACTAATACACCAATAGAAATCTTTGTACATACATCGAACAACTACTAATACACCAATAGAAATCTTTGTACATACATTGAACAGCTACTAATACACCAATAGAAATCTTTGTACATACATCGAACAACTACTAATACACCAATAGAAATCTTTGTATGTACATCGAATGTTTCCTAGTTCAGATTAAACTGTACAAGGAGATGAGTCCATGTAGTGTTTACTCAGTGTTTTGCTATCTTAACAACAACAATAATTTCACCACTTTTTTTAATAGGCTATTGTTTTAAACGTTATCTAAGAGTGGTTACATCTGTTGAGAAACATTAGAGTATCAGCGGTTCGCCATTTAGAACAGTTGGGACAGTACTTCGGATTTGTCTCTTTATTTTCTATCTTGGCTTGTTGAAATGCAATTATATGCAGTTGTTGTTGTTGTTGTTATGAAAGGGACTGCGAATTCCTGATTTTTATAAAAATTATTACCAACACAATTTCGTAACAAAAAGTGTCCATCTTGTGCATTGTATACCATGTAAAATTACGAAATACGTGTTTTTACAAGCCTTACCTCCTCTTTGTTATCAATAGACACTTCGGTGCAGCCAGCCACGCAGGGAGACACGTAAGTTATCCCGTCACTACCGCAAACTGGGGAGTAGATGCCGGGTCGACAGCTGCAACTTTCGTTACAAAAGCCACTCATAGATGGCAGCTCTGTAGAACTGAAATGATAGCGAAGGTGGACTTTCATTACCTAAGGTTTGAATGCAATCACCAGAAGAGATGAAATTACAAAAACAAAATTAATTTGTGGTATGTACTGGTCTTTTCTACAAGAAGCTATTGAGAAAGATAAATATTTTGATCTTTAGACACAAGATAGTATATTCAGACTTATAGCAAAGCCACATCGGGCTATCTTCTGTGTCCCTGATTCTAGTTTTAAATACTTATAGCAAAGCCACATCGGGTTATCTTCTGTGTCCCTGATTCTAGAGTTTTAAATACTTATAACAAAGCCACATCGGGCTATCTTCTGTGTCCCTGAATCTCGAGTTTTAAATACTTATAA